TTGTTGGAAAATTAATAATAATAATAATAATAATCCTGATTTTGATTCTAACGATCAAACATAAACATAATCCCATACTGATAAACATGATCAAACATAAACATAATCCCATACTGATAAACATGCTGTAAACTGAATGCGAAAGCGTACCTGAATTAACCATAACGATGATGTCTTTGTAGAGCACTATATTGATCTTATGGTCTTCCACCTGAAGAGCACCTATATTTCCCTCTTGATTTTCTCTCTTGATGGGGATAGAAAGAAAGGAACGGGACTGATACTTACGTTCTGTGTGTGTGCTCTCAGAAGGGGACCATGACCCTTTAGATAACCAGAATTAGGTTAATTACTTAAGTTTTAGTATTTCCAATTTGGCCCCTCATCAAATTAGAAATTGCTCTATGGTCTCTACACAATTTTATTTTCATGACATATGCTTTTAGCCAAAACTTTAATTTAGTCAGATCACTTTATTATTTGGCTTAATAAATAATGGCCCTAACACTTTTAAATTATGTATCATATATATACATGACCCAAATTTTTCCAACAAAGAATAGTTATATACAACCTCCTCTTTTAACCCATTGATGTGTTTTTTAAGGACAAAATCATTATGAATAAAAGTTTTAAAGCAAATAACTCAAACATGAAACTTAACCTTATCGATGCTATCTAATGAATATGAGACCAAAATATTATGGTTCCTAAATAGAACAAATAAAAAAAATATTATTATTAAAATTAATAATTATTTTATATTATAATTACTATTAAAATAATAACAATAATAATAATAAAATATTAATAAAAAACACAACATACTTTTTTTATTTATTATTTTATTATTAAGAATGAAGTTATATTAATAATAATTATAATTCTATTACTAATATTATTCTATTATTAATAATAATAAAAATAATACTAACAAGATAATAGTATTAATAATTATATTATATTATATTATCTTTTATTATTATAACATTATTATTTTAATTAAATAATAATTAAATATAAATTTAATTATTATTTAATTTATTATTAGTAATATAAATATATTATTATTTAATATAATATATATATATATATATATTTAAACAAAAATTATAAGTCGTGATTTGTATACAAATCGTATTATTATATAATTAAAACTTCTATTTCAAAATAAATAAATATTAAAACTATGTTATAAAGCACAATTTCTTTATTTTAAAGTTGTGTTTCATATCATCAATTACTCTAATCAATAAGTTTAAAAAAATTTATCCATTTTAATAAATTTTTAAAAAAATTACACACTTTGAATAAAAGAAAACCTCTTTTTTTACATATCAAAAGAGATTTGTTCGTTTTCTCACTTATATTAATAAAAAAAATATTTAACTTAAGTAAAATGTAAAAAAAAAAAACAAATCCAATATATATATATATATATATATATATATATATATATATTAATTTTTAATATTAGTTTTACAAACTATAAAATAAATTTTAAATATAAAGAAAACTAAATAAATAATAAAATAATATATTTAGAAAATCATCAAAATTGTAAATTAAAAAAAAATATATTCTCATAAAATAATAATTTCTAAAATAAACTCACCCTTTTTCACAAAATTTATTTGTTGTTTTAAAAAAATGATCAATCTTAATTTTGAATCTTTTTATATCATTAATGCTTTAATTTTAGTTGTTTAATATAAGTTTTAAGTGAAAAAAATGGAATGCAGATAAGATTTATATTAATTATGGACTCCTTTCTAATATATTAATTTGGGATTAATTATATTTGTATTTTCATCTTTTTAAAATATTTTAAAATAGTTTTTATTTATTTTAATATTTATAGTCTGATTTGTTTACTGTTTATGAAATATATATAATTTTTTTAGTTTTAAAAAATTTAAAAATTTGTTTGATAACTATTTTTTTAAAATAGTAATTATTTTTATATTTTAGTTTATAAAAACCAAAAAATATAATATATTTCTCTGCTTAAGGTTTTATTATAATACTAACGTTTTTATCAATAATTTTATTAAATTAGTTATTTTATAAAAATATTAAAACTATTTTTTAATTTTCAATATAAAGTCATCTTTAAAATTGTTTTTAAAAGTTAAACCTATTACAATATTTTATCTCTCAACAATTTTTTTAATAATTTTAATTCATCTTGTAATAAATTAATTTGTGACTGAAGTACTTGATAAAATATCAGTAATGTAATATATTTTCATTGATTTCGAGACGTGATAATATAAAACTACCAATTGGAACACTATAAAATTGAAAGAAGAATAGTGAATAATCTTCACGAAAAATTGTCATTTGATGGGAGAATTTTAAAATAACGAGAACGATTTGAATAACTAAATCTAGTAAAGAAAAGTTATCGAAAGATGAAAATGAATTTTTGAAAAAAAAAAGAGACCTAAAAAAAAGTGTAAAAATGTGTTAATGTCACATCTATATCAAACAAGAGCTAAAATGATAATGAGATAAAAATTTAAGAATTAGGATCAGACAATTTTTAATTTAAAGCTTAAATTTATAATTTGAAAAAAAAAAGTTTAAAAACTAAAATCACTTTAAACCTTTGATTAATATAAAAAAAAGTTACGTATTTTAATCTTAATATTTGTAATGATAAATAATATAAAAGAAATCAAAATAATTAATTTCAACAAAGTTGTCCTTTGAAATAAAAAGAATTATTTTTATTCCTAAATTTATAAGTCAATAATAAAATAGTTATTGAAAAAAAAATCAAATTAATTTTTTTCATATAAGTAAAAACTTTTTCATCGCTATGTAAATTTTGATAAAAATAATTTTAATAATAATAAGTTTAAAGGTCTAAATAACATAATTGTAGAGATCAATATGTGAATATTACTAAAGAAATATTTATCTGCAATGAAAACAATTCCAATTTAAAAAATAATATATTAAACCATAAAAAATAAAAAATATGATATAAAAAATAAAATAATTAAAAAGAAATGTTTTCACTATCCCAAAAATGTCGTGTATAGTTTTTTTTTTTCAAAAAACCTTGAGAAAAATAAGAAGATAAAAACTGATGTGAGTAACGTAGGCAACTATAGAGTGAAAGAGTTATCTACCTAAATTATAGCATGTCCATTAGATAATATATAGGATGGAAAATGTTAGAAATTTAACTTGAGTTCATACCTAAATTCATTTAAAGCACATGGAGAGAGAAAGAAAAGTGATACTAATCATTGATAGTTAATAACATTTTAATTATTGTTTAATACTAATCACATACTTGGAATAATTCATGTTCAACAAAATGACCCTATGACCAAATTTATGAAAAGGGAAGTAAAAAGGTATAGCTTTAAACTCCAATGAAGAAAGTAATGGACACGTGGGTGGGCGTGGCTGGTTCCCACAATAGTGTGGTTGGATCAAGCCTTCAGTTTCACTTCCAAGACAAATTGTCTTGGTCGTGTAAACATGATCACTCTGTTGTGGGTGAATCTCTTATTGTGGTATTTTCACTTTCAGTGCATTATGTTCACTTATGTGTTCATATAATTTTTCTTTTGGTTTTAAAACATTATTTTTAATTAGACTCTGATCCATGTGTTTGTTTTAGGCTTAGTTACCCTTTCTAAGGTATAATTAAGTATTTTGACGTTATTCTAGTTCATCTTTCTTCTTTCTTGAATTTTCTCGTGGATTCTACAGTGACTGTGTGAATAGAATAGCATTTTGGAACCCATTGAATTTCCAATTTGCATATTTTTGAGTTATTTACATTATTTTGTCTTGTTAATTTATTTATGTGAAATGCTTGATCAACATTTCTCATCAATTTAGATTAAATTGTTTAAATTTTCGATAAACGCTTAGGTGCTTAAACTATGAGAAAGATTTAACCTAACATTTGTTCTGTCTTTTTTTGCAGCCGAACCAAAAATTTGAGCGAATATAGAAAATTGGAAATAATTTTTATTGACACATTTATTTCTTCGATGAATCGACGTAGGAAGTATTTCAGCATCTTAAAATTATAGACTCATATTCCAATTATTGAACTACTAAATTTTTTTAATAATAAATTAAAATAAATTATATTTATATATAAATAAATATATATATATATATATAAATATAAAATATATAAATATATTTATATATTTTGATATATTTATATAATTATATATTTATATGTTAGATGTGAGATTACGCTCAAAGGTAAAAATGTGTATCGAGTGAGTTTTCAAAAATTAATGTCAAATTTGTGAATGAGTTTTTTTATATGAGTTTGTAATTTAATGATAAAATATAATATTTATAATTTATTTATATAATGATATAAAATAAATTTGGGAAACGCGTCATTCGCTCAAACAAAAATACCAATTTTCGCTCAAGCAAAACATTTTTACTTGAGCGAATAAATTTCTGTGAGTTTTAACATATCTTTGTTCAAACGAGAGTTAATCCTACTTTCACCTTCGAGTGCACCCTTACATATAAATATATCACTATATAAATATATATAAATATATCGCTTGAGCAAATAACGCGTTTCCCAAATTTATTTTATATTATTATTTTATTTTATATTATTATATAAATAAATTATAAAGATTATATTCTTTCATTAAATTACAAATCTATATAAAGAAACTCAGTCACAAATTTAACATCAAGATCAATTTTTGAAAACTCACTCGTTTCACCTTTTAATATATCCTCACATCTAAAATATAAATATATTTATATTTATATATTTCCACGAATATATATTTATTTATATATAAATATAATTTATTTATAAATTATTATTAAAAAATTATAGTAATTTAATGATTATGCATCAATCTACCGTGACTCTAACATATTCGGTTTAAATCCTTCCCTCACAAAATTACTGTAATTAATTTGAGAGGGGGGAGAGGGAGACCTCTGTACTGACTGAAGGCATAAAATGGTACTATAATAGCGAACTACAGTAAATGCATCCTATCCACATAAGAGTGGTGCAACCATTGACAAAGGGGCTCCCCGCACCCCACAAAACACCCTGAATTGCCCTTTTCAGCCAAAAATGGGAAAGTGAATGTGTGCAGCAGGTCCTGCACTGACTGTCTCACCAGAGAAGATCCTGTCACCTTGCTCCTACGACCCCATCCTGTGATAATATCTATCCGACTAGGGCAAATACCGGATACCAGCATCCGTTGGCGAAACTGAGCAAGTGTCCTAGACAATGCTGTTACAGCAGTTCCCTCAGACATGACATGAAGATTTATAAGCCAATAGCGAGAGCTTTTCTCCTTCACAGCATCTGGATACACATTCCTTTCTGCAGCAGCCTCCCAAACTGAACCAGCCTCTTCCTTGAGCCCACACTTGCGAAGAAAATTCACCACTGAATCTACAAGCCCCCTTTTGCCCTTTCTATCCTCTGTGTGAATCATATCCAATATTTTGTTTACATGATCCCTCACATTTTGACCATCAGGTCCGGCTGAAGGCATAGACAGTAACAATGCATGAGCAGGATGGCCCGTAAGTGCCATAAGCTCACAGAAAAACTCCATATCATGTGCTGACCGAGCTTCTGTACAGCAACTAAGGAGCAACGTATAAGTTTGCAATGGTCTGAGGCCAAGAGCCACCATGCTTTGCACGAGATTATATGCATCACTCAATCGATGCAACCTGAGGAATGCACTGAGAAGGGAATTGCAAGTAGGTACATTTGGAAGCAAACCTGCATTCAACATAGCATGATACCATTCCGAAGCCTTCTCAACATTACCAGCCTTTCCCCACAAGTCTACTAAAAGACCATAAACAGGTTCATCTGGCTCCCAGTTTTTCTGTTTCATCTCAACAAAAACTGCTTCAGCTTCCTCAAGATAACCACAATGGCCAAGTGCCTCCATTACTATGCTATAAGTAACTTTGTCAGGTTGAAATCCTGCATTCTGCATGTCATGATATAGTTTCAATGCCATTTCATAGTTCCTTGCTTTAGCTTGCAAGGTAATCATGATATTGTAGGTAACCAGATTAGGAACACAGCCATGATCAACCATCTCACCAAAAAGCCAGTGGGCAGCAGCTAAATTGCCAGCTTTCCCAAGACAGTTGATTATAACACTGTAAGTAAATGTGTCCGGAGAAAGACCAGCTTGTTGCATTCTTTTGTAGATAGACATGGCAACATCAATAAATCCAGCCTTGGCATGGATATCAATGAGTGTACAGTAGGTGACACGATCAGGCATACATCCCACCTCCTGCATTCCATTGAACACATTCAATGCTTCTTTCAGGTAGTTTGCACAGCCATAGCAATGTATAAGGCGATTGTATGTCACAACATTGGGTCGACATCCATCCTTGACCATCTGATCTAGCAAGTTGCTTATGTCATCAAACTGTCTAGCACGGCCCAGGATACCAACCATGGTGGTGTAAGTATGTTCATCATGCCTGAAACCTGGTTGCCGCTTTAACCAGTAAAAAAAGCTAAGAGCAACTGAGTGGTCCTGGAGTTTTTTTAAGATTTGGTTTGCTTGGTATGCATCCATTGAAAAATTAAGGCTATACAAAGCCTTTTCAGCGGCAGGACCCCACTTTAACTGCCCTAGTATATCTGAAACCACTTCCACAACCCGCCCAGTGTTTACAAGATGCTTATTCATTGGAGCAGCTCCAGATGACATTTTCAGATCCCTGGGATGTTTAGTGTAACTTCCCTTGATTGATCCCACCATCTGTGTGCTTGAAGCATGCACGTTGGAGCCAAAATTTGTCACAATGTGATTTGATTTTGTTCCTGTCCTGTGTGGAAAGGATCCATGTTCATGATTATTTAAAAGAATATTTCGAGACACAACTGACTTTTCTGTCCCAGAAGAAGGAACACGCCTAAAACCTTTACGTAAATTTGATTTATCAACTTCACACTTTCCACTGTGATAATGACTAATACGCTTAGACCCTGAATCAGTTGAAACAGATGGCCTTGGATGAACATTGGTAAAGTTCTCCTTTTTAATCTGTTTCACATTTGAAGATCTGATGTTGGTTGGGGTTCTGGCAGTATCAACCATACAATTTTTGGAGTAACTTGGTATTTCCATTCCATTGGATAAAGGAAACTTGTAATTAGCTAAATCAGAAAGAAAATTTATAGCTGCAATGCCGGCCCTGTAAAATTGGTCAGCATTGAGAGGAGATGAGTGCTCAACACATTTCTGTACACCACCAGTATCAGAAGCATATGTTACAGAATCTGATCTACTTGATGAACTTATAGCAGGCACAATTTGCTGAATACGGCGAGATTGATCAACACCCTCGGCCTTGCAGCAAGCTAGCCCATTTACTGAGTTTGCTGGAATCAATGTTCCATCCACTTCAGACTTAGCTTTGGACGCTAAGGAGGATAGCTTCTGTGTTGGTAAAACTTCATTTTTAATATGCTGTCGTCTAGACACACAAGTTTCATCCTCAGTGCAAGAGCATGAACTGCCATCTGCTGCATTACAACGGGAACCACCAACGAGGAAACTCCTGGCACTGTTAGAAAGTGCATTGATATGCTTTGCTCGGAGCATGGTCTGAAGATAAAGTTGAACTGAAATAGTTCATAATCATGAAACTTAACACAAAAGTGAAAGAGGCGGACTCTTCACAAACTTTCTATTCATGACAAACACGCCATGGCAGCAAGCAAACAACAAATTTCCCCTAAATTTGCAACATCAATTGTATATTTTTCATGCATCCACATTCAGCACCAACACTACTTATGATTTAGATGAGCTAAGATAAACTCTTAGCATGTGAACTTAACTAACAGTCTACTTTTGAGCAATTCAGAATAAACATGTTTAGAAGTAACAGAAAGGAATCGGGTTCACTTTCTCACACAAATAATAAGAACAGTAGACATACACCACAGTATTTTTAACATAAAGTTCCTTTATCCAGCATCTCGATGTGATTAGTTTGGCTCTCAGAATATTGAAAGAGGCAATATTCCATGTCGTACTTGAGCAGAATAAAACAACAAGATGCTGAGTTGAATCATTGAATGATTCAAAAGTTCACTCACCAACACAAGAATTTCATTGCAGGGTTGCAAGCAAAATACCACAGTCTAACAGGTAAAATAAAAATGAATTGACATGTTCAAAAGGCAACTTAAATAAAAAATCCCACAACCTATCAGTCCATTGAGAGACAACTTACTTCATGTGTATACTAGAAAGACTGATTTACACACCAAACATGAACCCAAGAAGAATAGCCCCTACAAATCAAAAGTTATCTAAAAGCACCAAGTATAGAAGTGACAGTAATTTCATCACTAAGCCATGAAATCAGTGTAGTCTGTGAAGCAATGATCGATTGAAAACATGATATGAATGAAATAGAGAGGTACCTCAATGGGTCAACACTCAACACTGTTGAGAGACCATTGAAGGGTTACAAAGATAGACAGAGAGAGTGTGTGCGTGTGACTATGTAAGAGTGTGGCAGCTTGATTCCAACCAAGTTGGGAACTTTGGTTACAATTGCAAGGAAAAATCAATAACTTTTAACATCACTTGTTCTCTAGAGCAACCTAGACAGACAATGTTTGGTTTTGATTTAAAAGAGACAAGTGGCAGTGGCAAATGCATCGTGGCTTAAGTCCTTGCCATTAGAAAAATCCGGTTTGAATTTACTCCTTTCTGATTTTTTTTTTCTTAATGGTAAATTACTACTTTGGTCATTAACAATCTACGTTGACACCATCTTCAGAGGAGGTGATATTAGATTAATTTTAAAAATTAATATTATTATATCATTTTATACAATTTAATTTTAAAATGAAAATGTTTCAATAAAAAAATTAATGATAATTGATTTTACTAATAATTAAAAATGACATTACTAATTCGTAATTTATACATAAAATTTGATATTACTAATTCTATTCAAAATATTTTGGAAAACTAGAGTGATGTTTATCCTTTTCATTTAAAATTATAATGATAAACAGTTATTCAAAAATATTTTTAAAAATTATAGTGATAAAATTACATATTCAATTCAGAGATTATAAGAACTTGTTTGCTCTTATCATTTCTTTTAAATTATTTTTCAAGAACAACATCACACTACTCAATAGTAATTTTCATATCTAAAACTTCTCATGGTTTTAAATTATTTCTAAATACACTAATTTAGAAACACATAAAAAATATTTTTCTAGATTAAAGCTATTGAAAAAAATCTAATAAAATAAATTAATTTATCAATCATTAGATTTTATTATCTTTAATGTATACAGTATTTGAAATATTACCATTATCAAAGTTTTTTTTTTTAATTATATTCAAATCCTGAACAACAATGTCAAAAAATCGCAGTTGCATATTTAAGTGTAAAAACATATTTTCAGAGATTATTTAAAAATAAATAATATTATTTTAACACAGACTTGATTAATGACTTAAAATTTTAACACAAACTTGATAAATAATGACTTCAAATTTTAAATATTATACAAAAATATTTTTTAACTTTAGACATATTATATATAAATTTGATATTAAAATATCATTTATATTTATAAATAATTATTATAATTCTTAATCGTACAAACATAATCATATTGGAACATAATCGCACACGTATCTCCAGTATTTTTTTAAATTATTTTTGGTTATTCTATCATTTAATTTTATTATTATAAATATGTATCATCTTACCCTCCAAAGATTATTACACCTCACTGTCTAAATTTCTTTCCTCTTTCTGCTTTATGACATGATAGTGTACAAGAATTACATTCAAATTTTGGTCCTCATATGTGTATTATGGTATACTTCTCCAATTCCCCGTTCACACTATCATTATGTTTACCAAATATCCATTCTTTTCCATTTGAGTCCAGTGATCAGTCTCCTCCTTCTGTTGATCAGTCATATTCTATTTATTAATCATCTCTTCCTCTAAGACGATCCACTTGTATTCGCCAACCGCCTACTTATTTGAAAAGTGAAGATTTTTGTCGCAATTTCGACACTTTCAAATAAGTTTCCCTAGATCAGTAATAATGTAGTATAATGGGAATCAGAATATCGAGGAAGTAATAAGAGTATATGATTGAGTTATGAATGATTCAATGGGGAACAAAACTAAAAATGAAATTTACAATCTTAGACTAAACTAAAATGAGGTTAAATCCTAATATGCAGTGAATGAAAATATTGCAGAATGCAAAAATGGCTAAAAATATGCAGAATAACAAAAACAATGTAAAATCTCAAATCTGACCCAAAATCACAAATTTGACCGTGATGAACAGTAACCACGGTTAGTTTCGAAAATCTTACCATAATTAACAGTACTGTCAGTCGGAAAATCAACAAAATGAAAAGGTCTCGGTCAAAATGAAATTATGACAAGATGTCTCGGTCAAGATTTGAATGCAATGTATAAAATGTATGATTGATCGAGAGAAATGCAATTATTTTTTTATTTTGAGGTTTTAAAACGTGAGATGACCGTCTGAGAGTGTTTTGGTGCGCGTGGCTAAAAACCTGACCGAGTGACAGTGGTCAATTCGGTCAAAACGTTCAAAACAGTGGTAAATGTGATTTGAAAGTATTGGAATGAGTGCAATAATGTATATTTATGAGTTTTTCAAATTTCTAGGGGGATTTGCAGTGCAGAAAATTAAAATGAGAACCTAGCTACACTTAAACTATTCTAATCTTATGTTAATCTATGACAGAACCTAAAACAGTGCAGTAAAATCTATCTAAACCTAAAACTAAGCTTCTACAGAGATTAAAGCAAGTAATCATAACAATAAAACCTAACTACCGTGACTGTAAAACAATTGAAACATCAAAACAGTAAAGTCAAAGCAGTAAAATGCAGAAAATTAAAGAAAGCAAGAACAAGAACTATGAACATGATTCGGTGTAAGCAAGATTGCAAGACTACTACATTTTTTACACTGTGAAAACCTAATTAATCAATTAAGCATTCACCATACAGTTCAACAAAGTGATTGCAAGCTTCAATCCTCAACCGAGAGACATCCACAAACTAAACCAAGTCAAGAACACAAGTCTAGAACAATTTGTCACATGTGATTCAATTTCAGAGATTTTGTTCAGTAAAAACCTAATCTAATTCATGAATTCAGTAAAGGAAAAATAATAGAAATAGTAGAAGATGAAGATCCAGAACCAATTCATGAAAAACAGTGAAGAAAACAGAATACATACATGGAGAGTGTGATGCAAGCAATGAAGAAACCCATGGAGAGAAGCTTGAGCGTAAGAGAGAAAACCAGTGCAGAGAAAATGCGATTTTGATTGATTCTGAATTCTACAATTTTGACTACTTGTTTCTACATTAAGTTAATATAATATAAGCTTTAACTAATGTACAATTACAAGTTACAAGGTCCATAACCGGAGCTAATCCAATAACTTGAGAGAGATGTTGAAGAGTCGCGCTATCTTTGCTTCAGTGCAGTACGGCGTAATTCAAACAGTTTCTTCAATACTTCTTCAAATTAAACGCTTCCAGTCTCTTTAGAAATCTTGTTAAGTTAGCTTTTCCACAGTGTTTACTAATTTTGGCGGTCTAATAAATTTAGAATAATTATTTTACTGAGGCATGCCCTTTGGACCGACTCTGTGCATGTAACCTCTCTTTAATAATTTATATAAAATTCAATTTATCTCTAAATTGAGTGGTTCTTGATCCTCTGGAAAGCTAAATTTGTCTAGTTTTTAATGCTTTAAGAATCATGATTTTATAAGCTCTGTAGAAAAAATGATAAATAAAATAGTAAACTAATATCAATACATGTATATAATAAAATACGGCTAATTTATTGTTTTTATGCAGAATTTTATGTTAAGGCTTCTAAAGGCCTAGTAATTAAAATTATAGTTAATTAAGCTTTATTAACACATTATGAACAATAATATAACATTATTAACTACTTAAGATGTGCTGAAAATCAATCATATCAAATACCCCACACTTAGTCCTTTGCACTCGTGGGCAAAGCTTAAGTTCTGCAGTTCCATGTTTTATAAATCAATTAAGTAAAATGAGCATATAAAAATTCATATCCAAGCCTCATGCATCTAAGTTACAACATCAAACACTTGACTCCTTAATTAATAGGCACTCATGAATAATTTAAACAAAAATCTATCCAGCTTTACTTGAGAATTTCCTCACTAGGTCAAGTATTTCACTCATCTCTCAACTGTTTAAATATAGATGTTGTTTCACTCAAATATTCTCAATGCAAAACCATTATCATAGGCTTGAATAAATTCATATTTCAATCATCATAATTACCATGCATCCAAAGAATCAAAAGGACTTTAATTAAGCACTTTAATTAAGCTTATAACGTGGTCATGGCTTATAACTTTTGGGTATGGATAACAAAGGGATGCAAGACTTTAAATAATGGAACTTTGATAAAAGAAACATGGTTTTAAGTGCTGCATAAGTGTTGTTTTTAGCTTTTTAACCTTTTTATTTTTATTTTTAAACCTTACATAATTTAAACACCACCCCACAC